TATTAGCCAGCACTCAGGTAAATAAGGTTTTTGCGGTTTCTCTAGAAGTTATAAGAAACTGCGATACATCATTTCTTAGGGGATTAGGTCAACCAAAGCTTATTCATCTTAGGCAATTCCCATTTTCTGATTGGAACTTTTAAAACTCTTATCCTTTGAATTTTTGATTAATCCTACCTGATCACTCCATTAGATTTTTCGTTAAAATAAATAAAATGAAAATGTTTAGTAAAGTCATGTGCTCTTTTTTGTTCTTTTTCTAAAAAAAATTCCATCAAAATGGGATTAAGTAAGAATAAATGCCTTCCTTTTCCTTCAATTCTTAATGAAAATTTTACAATTGGATGGGCTAAGTGAGACTAAAATTATTCAAAATTCATGGAATAAATTAATAGTCTTTCAAGTTCAGTAGACAAAATGAGAATAATCATAAAGTTAAGAGACACGAGTGAATTGATCAAATGTATAATGTTGAGGCATGTGTAATATGATATGCAGCTTAAACTCCACGAATGCCTCAAATATAAATCTATGCAACTAATTGGCTATTTTTGGCTTACTAGTGTTAGATTGTGAATCTGTCCACATCACTAAGTACTGGACAACTGGAATGTTTATATGTGGTTCAGACACCCGCTTCTTTTGAGCTAGTTTTTGGGTTGATTTTTATCTAAAACCCATTTAACATGGTATTAGAGTAAGTTTTGCAAGTGAGGGACGTGTTAAATTGTGATTTATTTATTTTTTCTTTATGTCATTATCATTCATTTTTCACGGGTTTTACTGTGAATTCAATATCACTATATTCTCAATTAATCTGACTTGGTATCTACGCAATTGAAATTATTTTAAAATAACTATCCAGTACCATTACTCTAGTCACATTAATTAACTTCAACTTTTGCCTACTCAGCATTTTTGTCTTCAAAAAATTTGCTGCAATCGATTTCCTATTACTACTTGTCATGGTGTTATGCATTTTCCACCACCTAACCAGTCGCCATCAATAACCTTTTAACATTGAAGAATCATTCACTAGAAAAAAAAAAAAAAATCATTGAATAAGGATTCCCTTTAAACATTGCGAAAGACTCATGCCCCATTCTTCGCTAATTAGTCATAAATATTTAAATTCAACTTTTTTTGTTACAGTATTTTCTCTCACATGAATTCATTTTTTAATTCAAATTTTTAACTCAAACGAGTAAAAGAAACATATTTTCAAAATTTCCGGTGTTGATCGATGGAGCATAATTAATGGTTGCATTGCAATGGTAGAGACTGCTCATCCGGCTGTTAGATAATCCCTGGATTATTGTTTGTTGATTCGGATTCTATAGAACTGCTGATTTTTGATACGCATAATATTATTAAATGTACTTATACCTGACAATGACAATATTCATCTACATAAATATGTTAGGATTTTAAAAATTTCCCCACATTTTAATCACCTTTTTCACTTTGTATCTAAAATTTTAAAACGTGTTATTCTATCTCCTCAATGTTTAAAATTGTTCTTCTTTTTTTTTTTTTTTTTTTTTAAATAAATGTCGACAGAGGATATTAAGCATTAAAGATTTAAAAAAAAAAGTCTAACTATGTTTGCACCTACTTCCTAAATGTAGGAGCGAGCGACAGATTATAAATATTAATATAATCTAAATCGGTGATTTAAGGCAATCGTTTGGAGCTTACTGAATATATTCCCATGTGATGCAGATTACCAACAGTTGGTAGCTACCTTCTGTGACTATTGATTAAGCAATTATCAATCTAATTTCTTTTTTGTTTCTATAAAAAAAAAAATTGAAAAGTTCTCCAGGGAAGGGAAAAAAAAAGGAGACAGAATTTACAACGACAGAAATAGAGAAATGCATAAACAAGGTACACAATCTAATAACAAAAAAAAAGAAGCAAAAACTAAGGGATCATATGAAGGTAAACTGTGCTTGCAAAGTCATGTGATCTTTGTTCAGGAATGTTATTAGTATTTTATACTCTACATATGGACGATCACTTGATTCTCACTTGATTAATTGGGAACAATATTTAGCAACATTTTGTATTCTTATATAATTCACAAATTAGATGAAGATCTGAGTAGTCCATAGGATTTTTGTTTTGTTTTTTTGTTTTTTCTTGTATAGGATTTCTTTATAGTTGTTTAATTGGTATTCACTTTATTTAGAATGATACTATGGGCACTAATAGTATTGAACGCCACATAAGACCACAATATGAAACGCGCCTTCTAGCTATTAGGTGTAGGAGAAGAAGGTTGGCTTTATATTTCTGGTGTGCCTTTTTGTTTTTTCTTTGCTTTCTTTGTCTTATTATCTTATGCATCTGTCGTTTTTATTCTACTACATATGATCATAACCCAATAACTCATGATTTGAAATTTTGATTGCATCGAGTGACTTTAAATTAACATATTACGTATTCATGTATTTTGAGTTTATTAACAACATTTTATTAGTTTATTTGTATTCCTAAGAAGTGAGAAATCCACGTTAAGATGAGAGGAAAATATATATAAAAAAAATGTTGTTTGAACTTGGAATCAATGCCAGAGGGAAAACAACAAGATAAAAAGGTGCATAAATTTTCATTTTTTAGACTATGTTAATTGCTAGATAACAAATACTTATTTACTCTTTGTAAGACTATGTTAATTGCTAGATAACAAATACTTATTTACTCTTTGTAACAGCAATGGAGAAATGTTTGGAGAACTATTTAAAACAAAAAATCGGAGACTACTCTTATTAGTTCTCAAAATAATAAAGCTACAAAATCTATTAGAGTAGAATTCAACTCTGCAGAAATCCCAACAGATCTTAGAAATTTGTGTTATAATCATATTGAGAGTAATGAGGAAGTGACATCAAGTACTTAAGTGAGCCACAAATGACTAAAAGTCTAAAACCATCAGAACATTAATGACTTAGTTATTATAAGTTCAAGGAAAATTTTGTGTTATTTTGAATTATAGAGGCTAAAGTGAGATAACTCCTACTTTAATTAGCTTGGAGGCAAATTTAAAACTCGTAATCTTTATTTTTGCTATTAATTATTTCTACAAAAATGGTTTAGTATATGCGCCCACTGAATCTAAAGGCTGCCTTCGCCACTGCTGATAGTATCTCTAGGGATGAAGCTAGCTAGGGCTCAACAGGCAGTTGGAGCATTCCACCTGATCAAGCGAACTCTTCTAATATTGATTTAGAAATTATTATGTTATCTTAATTTTTATTGTTCCCCCCTTAAAATTTTCCATCCTAGATCTATGTTCAATGTTTTAGAAGTCTTCATCAATACCTTTAAGTTTGATCAAAAATTTATTTCTTTATGCAGCAATTTTACATATTTTCCCCCTGAATTTGTATGGTTTTAGCAGCTTGCTTGCCTCCTGAAGTTTTAGTTTTGGGAAATTGCTCAACTTGTAAAATTGTTATAATAAGCCCTATTTTGACAATGATTGTGTTAAATAGTGTCGAAAAAGCACGTTCGAATAAAAACTCCAGCATCTCAATTCAAATGTAACACAAATATTTCAATTACTCAACTTTTAATCTTTTAAATCCAATAAAAAATTTGAGTAAATTTAGTAAAATGAGGCACATGCAACAATTTTACAAGGTTTGGGGGTTGATTGGGAAGCAATTTGCTAAACCATGACAATTTCGTAGGGCATTTGTACTAAAAACTCCTTTACCCCTAAATTCTTTAATTGTAAACTTTATGTAAAGTACTTAAAAAAATTTTCATTTAGACTCGTAATAATATTCCATTACACAATTAATTTAGTTTAAAATTTTAGTTTAACTGAAGCCCCTCCGAAAAAATTATTTGCCTTCATCCTGGGTACCCTTAAGTATTTTTCTTTTAGGGTTAATCCAATAATATCCCTGAGCTTTACTCTTAATCCCACTTTGGTCCTTCGACTTTTAAAATGTCTCACTTTGGTCTCTAACCTGTCATTTTATTGCAATTTCGGTCACTCCACTAGCTAAGTCTTAAATATTTGAAAGAAAGAGCATGTGCTCTCGACGTGCATGGTTGTTGAATGCAATTGCCCTTAGACCCTCTTTCACAGGTTCTTAGGGACAACAACTGGGAAAAAAAAGCCCTAAAGTTTAAGGACTATTTGTGAAAAGTAAGTTTCGCTTTGTATTGTTTTGATTAGCAAAACAAATAATGTACTGCTAGTTTAATATCAAGCCCGTGCACAGATCATGACATTTCCAGTATATCTATGCTCAAAAAAAAAAAAAATCCACTTTATCCGTACTAACAATGGCAGATGAGGAGATTCTATCAAATATATAACGCATAGTTACTGGAGGGATAAAAATTGAAACAAAATAATAGATTATGAGATCAAAATGAGATATTTTAAAAGTCAAGAATTAAGCGTAATTAAGGATAAACTACAAAGTTTTGAAAGCATTTGCAGGATTAACCCTTTTCTTTATTTATGCCTTCTCTGTAAGAGGGAATTTAGAAAGTGTTGGACAGAAGTAAGATTTACCAAACAACCTCACTTACTCTAAATTTGTTAAAAAAAAAAAAAGAAAAAAGAAAAAAAGAAGAAGCTAAAAGTAGCCTCTCAACGCAATGACAAAACTAACCCTTATTTATACAATCAGTCTTTTAGCCTCTAGGCGCAATGACAAACTAACCCTTATTTATACAATCAGTCTTTTAGCCTCTAGGCGCAATGGCAAACTAACCCTTATTTATACAATCTGTGTTTGTTGTTGTTTTACCAAAGGAACACCGTAGCGAGGAATATACATAGCTATTTATATTTACATCCAAAACAAAGTTGATATGTCATTAACCACTTAACATTAAACGCTTAGGTAGGTTTATAATATACAAAATGGAGGGAAGGGACGTTTCTCATCTAAATCATAGAGAGAACACTTTATTTGCACGTATATTTAACAAAACAAAAAAAAAAAAAAAAAAAAAAAAAACAAAGAAAGAAAGAAAGAAAAACAGCATAATCTATTCTCTTATTCTAAAAAAAACAGCATAATCAAGAGAAGCACCATAGATCGATCCCTTATAGGGGGATCAAGGGGAGTAAGGTATTGGTACAAGATAGAGAGGAGCTTTCTTATGAACAGTGAGCCCATAAACTTCACTCATGTCCAATTCCTTAGCCAATATTGCACCATCGTCATCACCTGGCAACTTCCAATCAAACCAATACAAAAGATTGGCGATGATGTACTCAACACCAAAAACCGCAAAAGTCGAGCCAGGGCATCCCCTCCTTCCAGAACCGAAGGGAACAAATTCGAAGTCGTGCCCTTTGAAATCAACATCATTATCCTGGAATCTCTCAGGAAGGAACTCCTCTGGCTTATCCCAAACATTTGGGTCCCTTTGGATGGCCCATGTATTGATGAATACTCTTGTTTTCTCAGGAATATGACAGCCACCGATCTCGGCGCTTGCCAACGTTTCTCGAGGAACTAGAAGAGGATCAGGAGGATGTAGTCTTAGAGTCTCTTTGATGACACATTTCGTGTAAACCATTCGATTGACATCATTCAAATCTATCTTTGACCTATTGCCCATCACCCTCCTCACCTCTTCTTGGGCTTTCTTCATCACCTCTGGATGTCGCAGTAGCTCGGCCATCACCCATTCTAATGCCGTCGAAGTAGTATCGCTTCCACCAAGGAACATGTCCTGCAATGTTATCAACATTAAAAGGATTCATCCTTAAAGTTTATGTGAGAGAGAGAGAGAGAGAGAGAGAGAGAGAGAGAGAGGGAGAGCGGGAGAGAGAGAGACACCATTAGGACTGCTTTCATATTGTCTCGAGTGAGCTCAAACTCAGGCATGCCATGCTTTTGAACTCCGAGGAGGATATCCACAAAGTCTTTCACATCAGAGCCGCCAATATCATCACCACGTACCGCTGCCTTGTGTTCTTCAATCACTTCATCAATATAGGCATCCATTTCTCTGAACAGTTCTTTGAAGCGGCCTGTGAGGCCTGTAAGATTGTCAATCCATTTTAGAGAAGGGAAGAAATCCCCGACGCAAAAAGCCATCATGCAGACCATAAGCTTTCTCCCCAGCTCTCCAAACCTGCTCCGCCCTTCTTCAATCACAAAACTCCTCCCGAGAACACATCTAGACAATATGTTGTTGGCGGCTGCCATCAACATCTCGCTTAGATTTACAGAAGAATCCTTGCTAGATTGGCTAGCTCCGCGTATCCTTTCGATCAACGCTACCGTCACTTCTTCCCTCACGAACTGAAATTGTTGAACTCTTTTAAGGCTCAAAAGGTCATGAACACAGATTTTTCGAGTTTGTCTCCAGTATTCACCATAAGGAGCAAACCCCACGTCTTGGCATCCATAAAGTAAGATATTGGCAGCAGTGGTTTGAGGTCTACCGGAGAAAGCGATGTCATGATTTTTGACGATTTCCTTCATCATGTTGGCTGATGAAACAATAAGAGTAGGAGTTTGGCCCAAGTGTAAGAGCATTAGAGGGCCATATTTTTCGGAGAGTGCTCGGAAAGAGCGGTGTGGATGCGTGCCTAGTTGGTGAAGGTTCCCAATCAGTGGTAACCATGGTGGTGATGGTGGTAACTTCAGTTTAGAACGAGGCCTACTAAGAATGAAGAAAAGAAGCAGAGAAAGAAAGAAAAGAAAGGCAAGGAACGGGGTCAACTCTAACTCTTGCCATAATTGCTTCAACAGAGGTAAGAAAGGGATTTCCATTTTGTTTTCTTGCAGAGAATTGAGTTGCTACCCTCTATACTTATAACTAGAGCTAGCACTATATCGAGAAGCAGAACAAGAAATACTTTGGAAATAGTAACAATGGTGTAGTTGGTACTCAGAAAAGGTCCAACTAATAATAATCAAATCGACAATATTGTATTTTTATCATTAATGTGTCATCATCGTTCATTTTCAGTTTTTTTACCTTAACATGTGTTTTTAAATATTGTATCTTTTCAATAGACGCCCTTGGGGATTTAATATTTGATTGTCATCTAATCACAAGCTCGTAATAGCATTAATTATTGTCAATGATTGTCTCTAATAGTAATTTTGACTTAATTATAATTTGATAAGTATATTAGTAATATATATATATATATATATATATAGATTTTTAATCAGGGAAAAAACTTTCGTTAAACAAACTTTAGGATTACATGATCAAACAATCGGAAGACCACCTGGGCAAAGCTTGAAACAAAGAATATAGTACAGATCTGAGTAGAGAAAGTAGACTTAGCTAAGCTATGGGCAAAGTGACAAGGAAAGTGCAGTGAACCAACTACGTGATGAATGAGATGTAAAGTTATATAAACATCAAATTTTTAGTCTTTATTTTTCAGAATATTCTAGGAAATATGTTCTTGTTAACTTTGTAAAAAAACTATACATTAATGTGATACTTTCATTTTAATCGGATTTGGAAAAAGATACCCAAAAAATTGCTAAATCTCTATCTACATGCACCCAGGGGATAATGACGTAGGAATGGTAATATCGAATAAACTCAACGTCCTACTAATAAAGTTAACAATATGCTCCTGTAAGATGGAGTGGATCCGATACAATATTCCAATCTTGAAAGGATTTTTTTTCCTTTTTTTCTATTTTCAGACAAAATATAGACTGATATAATGACGTAGGAATGGCAGTAATATTTTCATACTGTAGATGAGTAAAGGCGTGAGCGGGCGGTGGAGAATATTGTACTCTAAGTCGGTGATTGAAGGCTATAATTTAGAGCTTGCATAATATTTTCCCATGTGATGCAGATTCAGAATGGTTGGTATCTTCGGTGACTATTAATCCGTATATATATATATATATATATTTATATTTATATTTATATAATTCTTTGTGGAGGTCTATTTCGGGATCATTTTCTGAGCAGTATTATTTATTTTTTCTTTTTACGCCCATTTGAGTAGTAGTTCACCACTTTTTGATTTACTTCCTGGGGATAAACTATTATTGTATCAATAAGTGAGGACTTTTATCATTAATGTGTCATCATCGTCCACTTTCAGTTTTTTTTACCTAACATGTGTTTTTAAATATTACTTATCAAACATAATAATTTTAAAAAACACGTGCAAATTGCAAAATATATATCTACACAATCTCGCGCGTAAACACACACGGTCTCAACTAATACTTATATATATATATATATATATTGTTGAGTAATCTCAGGAAACACGACATTAAGCAGAGAAGGGAGTTGCACCGAGTGAAGTCGTTTTGTCATATGTGAAGTCGTTTGCTGATTCAGACTATTAGAACGCAACGTTTTGGGAAAATGCTTCAGCCTCTAACCAGTAAGGTGAGGTGAAGACACGTGCAAAAGGCGGTGAATATCATATATTAACCTCACAAGGTGTTTTGGCTGGGTCTCATTGATTGTCTCGAGCATTGTTTCTACAAAAGAGAATTCTAGAGAGAGAACCTCTGGGTTTTAGAGAGAGAGAGGAGAACCTTTGGTTTTCTGGTAAGAGAAACTGTAAATAAAGGTTCAAGAAAAGAATCTGGGAGAGGTTTGTATTGGGTATTCTTCCACTGGGTATTCTTTTCGGGTTTGCTTAAGTCTTCTCTGGGTTTGCTCTAAATTAGGGTTCTTGAGAGATCTAAAATTGGGGCTTTCTTTGTATTGTGAGATTTGAGGGTGTAACAACTTTCTCTAATAGTGAATCGAGCTTCTCTGAGGAAGAGCTCAACGGGGATGTAGGAAATTCATTATTTCCGAACCTTGGTCAAACAAATCCTTTTGTGTTCTTGTGTCTTCTGGATCAGGTTCATATTTGTGATTTCTTGTTTATTCTGTGAGTCTGTGTTAGAATTGCTCTAACAGTGGTATCAGAGCCCAAGGTTAGTCAGCGGATTCCAAGAATTCCGGTGGACTCACGCTAGGGTTTTGATAATTTGTATCAAAACCTCGAGGAATTCGAAACTTATGGGGATCGCAAGATTCGAGCTTGAGAAGTTCGATGGAACTGGGGATTTCGGCCTTTGGAGGAAAAAGCTGAGGGCTATCCTCGTACAACAGAAGGTGGCAAAAGCACTGGGCGACATGAAGGATTTGGCGGTGTCTGAAGACGAGAAGGCCGAGATGCAAAAAACTGCATATTCAACGATCATTCTGTACCTTTCTGACAATGTTCTCCGACAAGTAAATGAAGAGGACACGGCGGCTAATGTATGGCTAAAATTGAAACAACTTTACATGACAAAGTCTTTAACAAACAAGATTTACTTGAAAGAAAATTTATTCAGTTTTAGAATGGACCCTCAGAAAGGTTTAGAAAAGAATCTTGATGTGTTTAATAAAATCATCATTGATTTAGCCAATATTGGAGAAAAGGTAGAAGAAGAAAATCAAGCCATTATCCTGTTTATTTCTTTACCCGAGTCTTATAAGGATGTAAAGAATGCCATTAAGTATGGCAGAGAGAGTTTGACTCTTGAAGACGTACTGTCGGCATTGAGATCTCGTGACTTGGAAATTAAAAATGAGTTGAGCCAGAGAGGAGATGAAAGTTTGTTCTCAAGAGGGAGACCTCAGAAAAAGGATCAAGATCGATCCAAGAACCGACCCAACTCTAGATCAAAATCCAGGATTGGTCAAAGGAAGTGTTTCTTCTATAACAAACCTAGACACATCAAAAGATTCTGTAAGGAATACAAGAAGAAGCTTGCAGAGAAAAAGACAGAGAATGCAGATGCGGCTGTGGCAACTGAAGATGGAGGTTATGAAAGTTCTGAAATGTTAGCAATAGGGGAAAAGAAGAATGATGAGGAATGGATACTTGATTCTGGGTGCACATATCACATGTGTCCCAGGAGGGAGTGGTTCACAGAATACAAAAGCATAAATGGTGGAAAAGTCCTAATGGGCAACAACCATTCATGCTCGGTGGTTGGTATAGGTTCAGTAACAGTCAAACTCAACAATGGGTTATCTCATGTTCTAGTAAATGTGAGACATATCCCAGACTTGAGAAGAAACCTAATCTCATTGGGTGCCCCAGATGATGCAGGGTATGCTTGTAAAACAGAAGGTCGAGTTCTAAAGGTTCTAAGAGGCTCCTTGGTGATTCTAAAGGGAAGGAAACATCAAGGTCTCTATGTCTTTGAAGGCCATACAGTAACAGGTGCTGCAGCCACTGCAACAAAAGATAAGGCTCAGGCAGCCCTTTGGCACAAGAGATTGGGCCACGTGAGTGAAAGGGGTTTGCAAGAGCTCAACAAGCAAGGTCTACTTGGAAAAGAGCATATTGGACACTTAGATTTCTGTGAACATTGCATCTTGGGGAAACAGCACAGGTTGAAGTTCTCAGCCTCCACATTCAGGGCAAAAGCTCCCCTAGACTATCTTCATGCTGACCTCTGGGGACTAGAAAAGACTCCCACGTTTGGTGGACACATGTACTTTCTTTCCATTGTGGATGATCACTCTAGAAAGGTTTGGATTCATTTGCTTAAATCTAAAGATGAATGCTTTGAGAAGTTTAGGCAGTGGAAAATATTAATTGAAAATCAGGTCAATAAGAAAATTAAAGCTCTTAAGACTGATAATGGCATGGAATTTTGCCATGAAACCTTGACTAGGTTTTGTAATGAGCAGGGAATCTTAAGACATAGGACTGTAAGAAAAACACCCCAACAAAATGGGGTAGCTAAAAGAATGAATAGAACCTTAATAGAAAGAGTAAGATGCATGTTGTTCATTGCTGGTTTAAACAAATATTTTTTGGGGGAAGCTGTTACGACAGCTTGTTATCTAATAAACAGATGTCCTTGCAAACCAATTGGTTTGCAGACACCTGAAGAGTGTTGGAGTTGTAAAATCCCAGATTTATCAAAACTAAGAGTCTTTGGGTGTGCTGCCTATGCACACCAAAAGGAGGGAAAATTAGACCCTAGGTCAATAAAGTGTATTTTCCTAGGATACCCTGAAGGTGTTAAAGGATATAGGCTGTGTGTTAGGAATGGTCCAAGGTATAAAATAATCATAAGTAGGGATGTTGTATTTAATGAATATGATATGTCTTGCTTAAAGGAAGAAAAAGATGTTGTTGTTTCTCCCTCTCTTGATACAGGTACAGGCAGAGACAGTGCCCAGCAACTTCAGTTTGAGGTGGAGAATAATAGTGGGCTAAAAGGTACTCTACACTAAGAAGAAATAGAGGAAGAACAACAGCAACCTGCTCAGGAGGTTCCAAACAGGAATGATGAAACCTCAATAACTGACACACAACCCGAGGAAGCCACACCAAATGATCTGAAAAATTACCAGCTGACACGAGACAGGCAAAGAAGAAATATCTGACCCCCCAACGCTATGATGGAGGAAATTTAATAATATTTGCCTTAAATACATCAGAAGAGTTAGTATATGAGGAACCAAAGTCCTTTCATGAAGCAGTGACATGTCCAAATGCTGGAAAATGGAGAGAAGCAATGGAGGAAGAGATGAAATCTCTTAGGTAAAACAAGACATGGGTTTTGGTAAATAAACCAAAGAACCAAAAGCCCGTAGCTTGTAAGTGGATCTACAAGATTAAAGAAGGGATCAACTCAACCGAGCCTAAGAGATTCAAGGCAAGGTTAGATGTCAAAGGCTTTACCCAGGTGGAGGGTATAGACTATACATAGATATTCTCCCCTGTGGCAAAGTATAAGACAATAAGAACCATCTTGGCTCTGGTGGCACATGAAGACTGAGAGCTTGAACAAAT